TTGTCCATTGGCCAGAGCAAGGCCCGCGAATGAACATGTTCAAGGCTCTGCAGCGCGAATGCATGCGGGTATGCTGAAGAGCATAAGCATGAGCTTCATCAACAGCCTTTGCCACATTATTCAAAATGCGGTCATGAGGAAGGTTGGTGTACATTGTGGTGAAATCAACCGTGCGAGGAGAGAGGCCACGTAGAGAGGACACATTGTTTTTCAGGTCAATCGCCACCTCATCAGCATATATATTGTCGGTCAATTACCTGTGCGGCTGCTTCGGGATCGGTGACGAGGACGAGGAGCTGACGTGGCAGCGACGACGAGGTAGCGAGGCGTTGACGTGGTAGCGCCGACGATAACAGCGGCAATGGCGATGACGTGGGGGCGCCGACGATGAGCACAGCCAAGGTCACGAAGATGGATGCTCCTCGTTGATACGGTGACGTGCACGGTGAAGTCGCGCCCAGGATGGACCTGGTCTTGATGCCAGGGGGGGGGGGGGGAGGGTCGCAAGACCGCTCCAATAGCAGTGTAACAGGCGAGGCGTTGACGTCGCAGCGACAAGGATAACAGCGACAATGGCGATGACGTGGCGGCGCCTACGATGAGCACAGCCAAGGTCACGAAGATGGATGCTGCTCGTTGATACGGCGAGGAGCACGGTGAAGTCGCGTCCAGGATGGACCTGGTCTTGATGCCAGGTGGGGGGGGGGAGGGTCGCAAGACCGCTCCGATACCAGTGTAACAGGGCAGAGACAGGGCAGCGAGGCTGGGAGAGGGAGGGAGAGTGAGAGCGCACACACACGCTGACTCAACTCGATGCAGACTCGACACGACTCGACGGGCGCAGACACGAAGTGGCAGTCTTCAATTCTCGCGAAGAGAGTCCAAGAAAAAAAGAAGGGACTCTTGAAGTAACGTCTCTGGGCATACTCACACCAGGACTTTTTGATGCAGTTCTGGACAGAATTGCAGCGACATCCATGCAAGTTCAGCTGTAAATGCAGTGAAACACATTCAAGACAGTGCTAGTGTGTGTACACCCTCTGGCATATTTGGGGGCGATCACCCATCTGGATCCCAGGTAGTGCTAGTGTGTGTACGCCCTCTGGCATATTTTGGGGGCGATCACCCATCTGGATCCAAGCTCGGCATCTGTGAGCTATATACTTCTGTTTGAATACATGGAACCCAAATGGTCACAAGCCTCCTTTCCATTCATTCGAACGGCAGTCACGTGCCACGGAAAACCCCGAAGCCAGGCTTGAAATTGACAACGGACGAACATTCATTCAAACAGCAGTCACGTGCCATGGAAAACCACAAAGCCAGGCTTGAAATTGACAACGGCCGAACTATCACGATACCAGGGACGGCAGAACTATGTATTGTATTCCAACAGGCCCCCGACACCTGCAAAAAAAAAAACGAAACAGTGTGCTGCGCAGTTCAAACGGGTGCTGTCAAAACCAAAAAAATGTGCGGAGCCGGAGGACTCGTGCCACAACACTACCAACAAAAAATAAAAAATAAAAAAATAAAAAAACACGACTCCCCACACAGCTAGCTACAAAGTCCCTTACACGGCGCCTTGCCCGGGTCTTGCGTGGACCCGTTACGCGAGTCCTGCACTAGTCTTTGATAAGTATATAGAAGAGAGGAGTTTGTGATGACGATGGTGATGATGATGACGATGGTGATGGAAGTGGAGAGAAGAAGGAAGGAGACATTGTGTCCATTGTTCGTCTTCTTCTTTGCTTCATTCTCTTCTCACTCTTTCTCTCTTCTTCTTCGCCTTGATTGATAATGGTGGCATTGTCTCGAAGCTCATTTTTGCAACAAGAATGTCGCAGAACAATAACGAGAGGGTCAGAAAAGAATCAGGGACTTTCATAAAACACAAAAGCCAGGGGTCAATGGATAATAAGCATTAAACATGCCTTAAAGGACCAGTAGTACATCTGGGCCTCTTTTGCACAAGGCGGATTCCCACTGCGCGCCAAGCTTTGCCGAAACACCAGTGTTTTTGTTTTGGCTGGTGCCGCCAGCCGCTTAGGTCCAGTTCCCCCAAGCCTCCATTTTTTTCGGAGAGGCTCAAGTGTGACTCTCAAGTTGGCCGGGGCCATGTACTGGTGGTTTAATAGGCAAAAGGGATGGAAAAGGTCAACATATCTCAAATCCTACGAGGAGCTACCATGTCAATGATTTGAGTGAAGCGAAGTGGAGTGGGAAGCAACTGCATCCATGCAAACCACCAAGGCTAAGAAGCCAAACAAAAGAAGGCACTCAGACGAAGAGCAGCCTGAACCAAGTGAGCATAACAACCAAAACTCAAAGGGAGATCACAGGCAGAAGAGTGGGGGGATCTCTCCCTGAAAATTGTGAAAGGACCACTCTTATTAGAACTGTTCAGAAAGATCGTCACGATTCATATGACCACGAATGGAAGTATCAGAGAAACAGAAAGCGATGCCCCGGGAGACCCAAGGACAGAAAGCAACAAACATGGTAAAAGTCTACCAACAGAAGAGGATGACATTCCACGTTAGAGACATAATTTTAGAAAAGGCATCCGCAAAGGAAATGGAGATCGCCCCTTCAGAAAGAGGGAAATGGCAGTCATAAGAGAAGTCCATAGAGTGAGTGTGGACAGCACATGAAAGGAGACAACAGCAGACTGGTGGGAGAAGAGTAAGTATGCACGAAAAAGTAATTCAGATACGTACCTGGAATGCGAGCAGTGACTCACATTGCATCCCGGAGGCTAGAATGACCAAGCGGCTCTCATGCGTATAGACATACCAATTGGTGACCCACTTTTTGAAATTAACTAGCCTCAGTCCATCTCGACCCCGTAGTAAAGCATACAGTTCCAGGCCACTGAAAAAGCGATAGAGAGATCCCCAAGCCAACACACATGCGTATAAGCGATGTATCATATTTGAAACAAACCATCTTCATCAGCAATTATAGAGACCACCCAGTCTGCCGGGCTGTCCAGGCATCACCTGACCCTCAACAAGCCTTTCTGACTTTACTTGTTCTGCTGTGCAGCAAGGTTGGGATTCTTTGGGAACGTGCCACTTCTTGTCTCCAGACACTTTGGGAGTCACGCTAGGCTACCAGAGTGGCCCAGGACCACTTGCGCGGCCGGGCCAAAAATAAAATAAAAAAATGAAAATAAAAAGTTGTTTTTAAAATTTTATTGTTTATTTTAAATTTATTTGGTAAAGAATTTCGGTGTGACCCTGAGGCAAAAGTTGTTCAGTTTATTTTTCTGCATAACACAGCTTTTTTCGGATTTTTTGGTCTTTTTTTTTTTTCCTGGGACCTTCCCTGGTCCTTGCACAGCTGGGCTGCCCGGGAAAACAAGGTGACCCGTGCGGCCCACCCGGCTGGTAGCCTAGGTGATACGTCATTTGCACAATGGTGAGTTACGAAGTGCATGTCCTGACACCCTTTTGCTATGGAGCTTAGCAAAGTATCGATTCATCCACAGGGACTAACATCGGCAGGAGTACATTGAGTGGTCTCAGTCAACATGTCTTGGCATGCTCTTGCTACAGAGCAGGCCACATCAGTTTACTCAGAAGGACATAGTTGTGAGAAAAACTGAGAGTACAAGGCAACAGATGCTTTCAGGGTTGTAGAAAAAGGCCTTGGCATACTCTTGCCACCAAGCTGCTAGGGATCCATTGAACAGGGATAGAGTTGTGTGAGACACTGAGAGTACAGTCTTTGCATACTCTTGCCACAGAGCTGGTCTGTCATCAATTCCATATTCGGATTAGATTGCGAAAGAATACTGCAACAACTTCACAGCCTACCACTTCGCATCGATATTCAAGATTTCACCTCCTGTGAGGCGGGAAGAAGATGTGACAACAATACTGTGTGTACTCCTTGCAATTTTGTAAACTCGAGGGTAGGTTAGTGGATTTGCATTTCTGCGGTTCTAAGAATACTTCTGCCATAAGCTTTGTCCAACTTTGTAGCACATTTTCACTTTTTAACTTTTAACAACACTTCTGCCAAGAAAGTACATTGCCAACGTGATCGCAGGTGTCAGATGGCATTCAGGGTCGCACAAATAAATAAGATAGCGGAAGGTGTGATGCAACCAGACAGATTTTACTGATACTTACATACCAGGTTCAGATTGAGACTGCAAATTGTATTTGTTACAATCCCATTGATAAGAAAGGAAACAGAACAGAGTTAACCAGAGCAGGATTAAGCAGAAAACGGGTAAAAAGTTACTAAGAACTTAAAAAGGGTATATTTAAGCAGAAAAGTATTCAACAAAACAGGTTTCAACTTTAAGTTCGTTTGACAGGGGCTGTCAGTGCTTACTACACCGTCTCGTTTATCAAAACAGACTTCGCAGTAGGATCAGTCTGAAGGGCCTTAGAAGGTCTCTAAATGGTCTTTCGATCAATTTTGGAAGGATTTCACAGCTGTCCCTGCTGGTCCCAGTCCCAGTTTCAGTCCTAGCCCTGGTCCCGTGCCCCAAGTCGCCAATAAGAGCGGGGCAATAGGCTGCCATAGGTAGTTTCAGGCAAGTACCGTTAGGCATAGGGAAAAGTTGGTAGAAGTCAGTAGGCCCTTTTTGTGTCAGCCAGTCCAGTCAGCAGCGAAGTCCCAGGAAAGTTGGGGAACTTCCGGAAGCGGCAAGCATCAGCTCAGGGTCCAGCCCATAAGCAGTCGAGGAAGTCTGGAAGTGAAACATTGGATACGAAAGTCCAGTTGTTTAAGACACTAACACATATTCACTTGCGTGACCAGACGGAAGCGCTGCTGCACTATTTTGGGATCTCTTGTTGTACGCTGCTGCAGGAGGTAGTCGATGGTGTCCGATGCCCATAGCTGTAGCTTGGTAGGATTGTGAGAGAGGCGGAAGAGCAACCATGCCTGTGTGATGTTCTAGCTGGTGGCCATAGCCATCCAGTGTGTACAAAGACAATTTTGTGTGTTCAAGCAGAGTCCATCTTTCAGCTCATATCTCACGTCTGCTTTGTGTGTGTGCAACCCTGTGTGAGATTTCTGTGTGTATGGGCCGTGCATCACTGGTCTCAGAGCAATTTGATACATTAGCATTGCCAAGATGGGAGACAGAGAAGGCAGTGCCAAGCTAACCGCAAAAGGGCTAAACAGAAAACAGACCAGCCTTAATCGCCACTAAGCTGTTGAGGTCAATTTTGGAACTGCATTAATGTGCACCAACCAGCTGGAGGTCTGCATTGCTGGTGCTCGCAAGGGAGGTGTTTTGCCAACCGCTCTTCTTTACTCCTTGAGAGATTCTTCTTAAGAGGCAGGAGGGGCAGTGCCACTACTAGGGGAGAGCATTGGTGGTTGCTTAGTATTTACCGTTGAAGCATTGTTGGGGGAGGACACAGTGAGGGCACTGATGATTGGGATCTGCAATCTCTATTGTTAAAAGGAATATCAGAATCTAATGTGCTTGAACCTTGTATCTTATGTTTGGATTGGTAGAGCGCTTCTCTCTCTCAAGTGCATTTGGTTCTTCCTCACATACTGGTGACGAACATTTGTTCTTTGGTGTCTTGCACAACATTCCTTAACTGGGTTCGTTGCACTTCATCCCCAATAAACTCTTCTTGTCTCCTGTCAGGTAAGTCCCACATGCCCTCACATCTTCCTTCACTGTCATATCAGGCCCTTCTCTGAGGGCACCACTTCCTCCTACTCTGCATGACCGTTCTTATTCCATTACCACCCTCTCCTTTCTTACACCTCCCCCATCCGTGTTCCTCCCACCTTCCAGCACAGTTCCCTGCACTCACCTCCCCATGCCATCACCAGCTTCAATCGTCATGCGACCCCCCATGCACAAGGCCTTCCTTCTCATTCTCCCATTCCCCCCATCCTCCACCGGCCTTTCCTCCCTCCCTCCATCTGATCACCTTCCTCCTATGTTCTAAGTTCTAACTTCTAACCTATCGCACCCCATCCCCTCCTTTCTTCCACAATTCCCCACCCTCGTGCCCCTTCTTAACACATCAACTTCATGCATGGCATAACCCCTCCAACACGCTGTCACCCTTCACTGTTCTTCCCCCTGTGAAACCTCTACCCCTATCACCCCTGACCACCCCAAATCAATCTCTACTGGCAATGTTCTTCGGTTGCATCACAAATTTGTCAAGCTCACAAAGGACCACATTGGATAAAGAGGGCTGAAGAGCAGACCAATGTAGTCATCTTTCAGTAAGACAACGGACATTGTTTTTCAATAGATATGGAAAAGCTTTATGAGCAAAGCCGGTAAATAATGGGAGAATCGACTACCCCGCCGCGCCACATCCACCTGTCCAGGGATTACTTGCTCCTCCCCTTTGCATTTCCCTTTCCATCTCCTTCCCTTACTGCCTCCCCTGCGACCCAATTCCATATCCCCTCACCATCCCCTCTACATTCCTCTTTGCAGCTCCTCCCCTACTCCAGCAGTGTCCTTTCACCATCCCCCCTTCCTCCTCCCAAACTCCCTCCGTCATCCAAGTCGGCATTGGACAGGGTTCCCAAGGTGGTCACCCAACAGAATTAAGGTAAAAGGAGCCCATGAGACAGCTTAGCAGATCCGCGTAAACAATTTCAGACAGAAAATTACAATATTTCTGCAAAGATGTTGCCAGTCAGGATTTTCACACTGGTGATCACCAAACTACGATTTCATTGACTTGCAATCAATGAAAGAGAAATTCACCTGATTTTCTTTTTTCTACTGAAAGAAAAGGAAGAGGACTCACCTGGATGTGACAACCACGAAGTCGCAAACAGGGCAGTCGGTCCAGAAGAAACCCAAGATACTATTCTCTCCGCCCCTCCTGCACCCCTGCCTCCACTCCTTTCCACTGGACCGGTTAATCAACTCCACCTCATTCTTTGACCTTTGCACCGCCAGAATCTTGGCATCCAAGGAAAACCTCACGCTGAGCACAGGACCCTGCTTTACAACACTCGTCCCTAAGGCAACCTGCCCAACGGAATACGTAGTGATCTGTTCATGTACGTTCATCAACACATTCATCACCACATTCATCACCACATTCATCACAGCATTCATCACAAAACCCATCCCCAAAATGCAGTAGTATCAGCTACTAAAAAGAACGAGAGACCAAAACAGGCACAAAAGTTCATAAGCCATCTGCAAGGAATACATGTGTTTTGAGCCTGAGTTGTCTAAGAGTCTGCTGAGTTTTGCTGTAAATCTTGAGCGTGCTCTGACCTTCATGTATGTCTCCATCATTGACTGCAAGTATGTGAGGTTTTCGGGCCATGAGAGAGAGAGGCTCCTGTACTATTTTGCTGGGTCATGTGTGTTACAGTTCAATCTCAGCAACATCATACTTAAGAAGTTGGGACTTTTATACGCAGAGGAGGCAAAGCTAAGTTTTGGGTGGGAATCTGCTGCATGTCAAGTGCCAGCATAAACTTGGTCCACCATTGTATTGGGTTGGTCTTGGAAGAGTCTTCAAAAATGGGGATAGAATGCAATTTGGGGACGCATACTGAAACTGCTGCTTCCACCTGGCTCTCTTCAAAAACTAGTAAAATTGTTTAGGCCCCGAAATAAAGTGAAAACATAAAGTTAAAAATAAAAATAAAAACAAAATAGTGAGTGGGCGAGCACGTTTTGACACCCCCATCTTTGACCATTTTTAATGTTTTTTTGGCTTAGCAGAATGGCTTCAAAATTAAGAGTGTAGGTTACATCATAGAGAACGCACAAAAAACAAATCAGAAACAAAAACTTATTTTTAGGCCCCTAAATGGTTTTTGGCGGGGGCCGAACCTGGAGGTGTTCAGCCCCCGAACGGGACCCTGAACGCCCGAACTTTCGGGGGCCAGCCCGGGGGCCCCCGAACGTTCGGTCAGGTAACCCTGTATATATATATAGTCAAATAGAACTGCCCGGTAAACCGTAGGCAGAGAGGGAGAAGAGGACAACAAACGAGGGGCTGTATATACCTCCTGATGAGTCGGTGAAACTCCGACGAAACAGTTTGTCACAGCCCCTCGTTTGT